CGTCAACATGAATGTTCCAGTAAGGCCTAACGACAGCTGGTCAAGAGGAATCCGCCGTCGTTTTCTGGTGAAATCGACCTTGAAATCTTTTCACCAAACACTTTCACTCGAAATGAAAGTAAGCTCAACAAAATGTTTTACTTCGGGGATCGATTTACAACTTCCTCTTATTTATATATATATATATATATAAGATCGGCCTGAAATTCACTCTGACTATAGACATTTTTAAAAGATATAAATGCTTTACCCAACATTAATTAGATGAATGCTTGTCATGAGATTGCTGTTGAATTCTCCAGCTTTTGCTAAAAGAACACCGTGCTGTCAGGTCACTGATTGATGCTGAACAGGTGATTTTAAAGAAAGTTGGTCAGTAAATAGCCATGCATTAAAATATAATTTCTGGTACTTGCACAAGAAGGAAAATTACAGCGAGTGGTTGAATTGGGCTTATAAATCGACCTACTGTGATACCGTCAATTTGCCAACCATGACTTATATCAAATCAACCGCGAAATACTTCTAAGAGCAAAAAATATAAGAATATTTATCCATAGGAGATGAATTCAGCCTATTTCGTTTAAGATAATGAAAGATTGATAGTTGAATTTTTACACAATGAGTAGGCCTGATGTTTCTATCACATTTCACATAACATTTTTTCTCAGAAGGCATTCTTATCCGGGCTGGACTGGACTGCACTTTCGACCTCGACCAGGTCTCATCAGCACAGCCAGTGGTACTCGAATCCAGGTTGTGGTAGTGCAGCATATAAACTCGACGCGATAACCAGACTGATACGAGTGTCCTTGAGTCACAGTGCATATGTGAATATAAAAGAATGCCACGCCTTTTCCCATATCAAATTCTGTGGTTGGAGTGTCGATTAAGCAAAGTTCTAACTGCTGTCACAATCGACACCATAACTTATTTTTAATTTATAAGTAGGTTTTCGAGACTGCCAGTAGATCATATACATAGTAAATCCACATCTGCCCTGTGGCCTAATGGCACTCGTGGCAATGTGGCGTAGTGGTTAACATGTCAATAATATACGCTGCACTACCACGACCCGGGTTAGAGTCCCGCTGGAAGTGACAATGAGCCTATGCGAGGTCTAAACTGCCGTTTACTCCTGCCTGGATGAGGATATCCTTCGGCAAAACGAGGCTACGTGAAAGTTAATGGGAACGTCACGTCTACTGATTAGATTGTGGGAAAATTCAATTATCAGACCCTTTATCACTCTTAACGAAACAGGTTGAATATATTTCATATATATGATCTAATAACAGCCTCGAAAGCCTACATGTAAACGAAATATATTCATCCGTTTTTAATGCAATTCTCATAGCATCTCCCTATTTGTCGGAAAGTTTATCTTATGTTTCCTGTTGAACGGACTCTTACTCATTCAGTCTTTTATAACTTTTTAACGCCATGCCGATCTTCCTAGTTCCAGTAACTTCACCATGCGACGTTGAAGTCTGTCTTCTGCCTGTAAACAGCTTCATCCAGTTGCCTACGCGACACAGAACTTGTTTTGGCCTCATCGAGGATGATGGCGACGATTTCAACTTAGACGAAATTACTGATAGTCACACCATTCGAAGTTCCGATCACCATCAGCCACGCTTTGATCCAACTAAGAGGGTCAATATCATTTACATAGCCTGTGGCTTGGTACACCAGCTTGCCTCGCCCAGTTTGACAATAAAGACAGGTGAATCGGAGGATGCAGAAACAGTTCTAGCCAACATCCTCTGCGATGAAGCCATCTTAATCATTGAGTCCGCAATGTAAGTAATCTGAGTTGATAGGCTATGCGACATTAATTCATGATTTACCGATTACTGTATAGGATACCCTGGCCTTATCAAGAGGAATAAGAAAACGAGTCATGAAGTAATATGTAAATTTAAAAAAAGTTACAAGCGTGGCTTTGATGTAATAAAACAAAGACGATGGCGGAGTGTAGTGTCGGTGCAGGAAAGCGGTGTTTCATAAGAGAGGGTTATAATCGCACAAAGGGATTGGCGGAAAATAGTCTCTAGTGAAAGGTGTTTCTTGTTTAAAATACTTCCGATTGCTACGAGTAGTGTAGCGTGAATTGAGAGAAAAATGTTTACTGTTCGGTTGTGACGAGAGATATAGCCAAACCGATTGTAGAGTAAAAGTCACTACAAACTTATTGTAACTAAGGTATGTAGAAAACTGGGTTTCATTG